TGTGTGTGTGTGTGTGTGTGTGTGTGTGTGTGTGTGTGTGTGTGTGTACAACCAAGTAGCTGCTTCAAGAATTCTCATTTTAATTACAGCTAAGGAGAGATGGGAGAGCCAGAGCCAGGGAGAGGTTTTAGAGACAGAGAAGGGCATTATGAAGGGGGAAAGTCTCCAGGGTGGGTGTGGGGGTGGGCACGGGGTGGAGAGAACAGCTACCACAGGGAGCCACGCTCTGGGCTGGCCAGCTCCTTCGGGGTCTGCTTCCCCTCCCTTCCCCTGGGTGCCAGCCAAGGTGACATTGACAAGAGGGGTGTGAAGCCCAGGAGGGGTCAAGTGATGCAGGTGTGTGAGATCCCCAGAGACCCAGTCAGCTGCAGGGCGGCAGGGGCTTTGTTCTGCTCTGACTCATAGGCCACACAGCCAGCCTCCCTCCTCAACTTGGCCACTTCTGTCCACCCCTCCCTGCTCAGACTCTCTCTCCTCTATGTTCTGCCTACCCTGTGCCAGGACACCTGGCTGAGCTCCCCCTCCCCAGCTGAAGAGCCTTTGTCTCCTCCTGGGCTCAGGAGCCCTCTAACTCCCCACTCCCCAGAGGGACAGGACTCCAGGGTTCTATGCTATTTGGACGATGTGGACCCTGGGACAGGCCATATTGAGGAATGGAGGGACAGAGGCAGACAGGCAGGAAGGGAGCTCCACTCCCCCTGGACAAGAGAGTAGGTGAGAGAGTGAGGGAGAATGGGGCCAGACTTGGCAAGCTCAGGCTCCCCGCCCCACCCCACCCCCACCTCTTCTCCTCCTCTCTCCCTCTTTCTCTCCTCTGCACCATCCGGCTGCCGGGGGCGGGTGTGAGGTCCCTAACGATCAAGCCCCAAAATAAACCCCATTAGTTGCCATGTTCCCTCCTGCGGCTGCTTGGGCTCTCTGGGGTGGGGGACGCCCTGGTTACAGGAAGGGAGACCAAACTAGGCCAGGGGTAGCCAGACCACCTGGGCTCTGGAGTGGGCCTGGGCTAAGAGAACCGTCTGATTCTATGGACCATAATGGGAGCAGATGAGAGTCATAAAATGTCTAATTAAATAATTAGTCTTTGATCGGTCTCTTCAGGGCACTTCTGGGAGGGGGGGGAGGGAGGGTGGCCTAGGGCAGAGGGAGAGATGTTCAGGGCCTTGGAGGGGAAGCAGATTCTCTGAGGGCTGAGTCAGGGAAGGGGGGTTCAATTCAAATCCATCCAATCCGACAGGCATTTATTAAACACCTACTATGTACTAGGCCAGGGAGGGGCGGGGCGGAACAAATCGAGCCCCATACTGGGGATGGAGAGGAAGGGAACCAGAAGCTAGGTTACCTGAGTTCTGGGAAGACTAAGGGAGTGTGTGGCAGGAAAGAAAAAACTCCAATCAAACTGGCAGCCGCTGCCCCAGCTACAGCCAGAAACTGCCCACAGAAGGATAGGAGCCGACTCGCACCCCGGGGACCCCGGCACCAGCCAGCTCAGGCACTCCAGGGGAAGGAGAGGCTGGAAGACTCCTCTCTGGGGACTCCCTGGCTCCTGACAAGGAGGTGGAGAGCTGGGTGCCCCATTTGCAGAGCAGAAGGGGACACTATCTGAATGACAGCATTAGAGCCCCCGGAAGGAACATACTGGGGGAGAAAACAAGTGTCTGTCTGCTCTAGGAGTCTGGAGATCATCATCAGAGGACCCCTGGTCTGCCTCCATCCCCATCTGCACTCCCACCCAGCAAGGCCCAGAGCCTCACCATCCCCAGGTAAGATGGAGGCCTGGTCACAGCCAGGTGGCCCTGGGCCCTCAGTGCCGCTACTACCACCCACCTAGAGGCCTGGAAGCCATAAGGACTGGTTCAGGAACTATGGGGCCCAGGCAGAGCACCCCACAGAGGCATGGGGCAGGAGCCCCACTCCTGGGGGAGGCTAGCAAGGGGCCACATGCGAGGAGTGGGGAGAGGAGGCCTCAGCTGGTAACAAGCCCCTCAGCTCCTGTCACTGCAGCACTATGGAAAATCAGCTGTTTCCATGGCAACTTTAATATCCAGAGCCCTCCCTCTCCTCTCCCTCCACTCACACACAGCAAGTCCACTAGAGGGAATGAGGTATGGAAGAGAGAGCTGGGGCCTCCCCCAGTGCACAGCCCAGAAGCCTTTCTTAGGCTTCCTCTGGGACCTCAGATCCTGTGGTCTCCACAATGGAATTGGGAGACCCCCTCATCACCTCTAGTCCTCCAAGAATCCCCCAAGCTTTGGTGAAGGTGTCCCTTTTCCCTATCAGGCCCCCTTGGGGGTCAGGACTCTCCTCTGGGAGAGGATCTATGTCCCGAGACCTTCCTCATGGCCCTGAAACAGGCTTGTCTCACAACAGTGAAGGGCCCGGAGCTGTCCAGTTTCTCTCCGGGCCCAGGAACCTTTCAGCTCACAGCAGAAAGGGGAGCAAGGGAGGGGAGTCTGAGGGCACTAGAGGCATAAAAGGTCTACTCCTGACATGCAGACAAGCCCATCCAGGCCTTGACATGAACCCAGACCTCCATTCTGGCCTCCCATCACCATGATACACTAACCTTAAGGTATACACAGACCCAGACACATTCCAAGAGCCCCCAGCCCATCTCCTGGGATGCTCAGAGAACTGGACACACCCAGCTACACACAAAGAAAGAGCTCACACCAAGGCCAATGCACAGAGGAAGACAGGAACTCACACACACACACACACACACACACACACACACACACACACACACACGTGCTCACAGATAACACTGCACATAGGCACAGTAATGCATTTGGAAATGACACGCACAAAGCCACACACACACACACACACACACACACACACTACACACACACACACACACACTCACACACTACAGATTCGCCTGCACACAGCTGGAACAGCCCTGTCTGTAGTTCTAGTCTCTGCATGCTTCAGCCAACACCCCACCCCTGCTCTCTACTCATGCTCAGATACCCAGGCCCCCTCAACCTCTCCTACCTACATCCTTGGCTGGGGGTCCTGAGACCACCCCTCCTTCCCATCAGCATCAGCCAAGCCCCCAAGGCGATTTATTAGCCTACTGTACTCAAGATGCAGCCGCTTAATTATGTCAGGGCGGGGCTCGTTAAAGCCTGAGAGGCCTTTATTACCTTGTGGGGGGAGTACATTTCTTGGGTAGAAGAGATGAAAGATGGATGGTTTATTGGGCCCAGGCGGGTGGTTATTACCCTGGGGATCCATTGATCACACCATCAGCTGCCATATTACCCATGGGCTTGGCTAATTCCATAGCCAAAGAGTAGGAAGAGACAAAGTCAATATAATTTCCCACCTGCACCCTCATGCCAGGCCTAGGACTGGTTTAGGCTTTGGCCCCGTCCCTAAAGGCCATCCCCTAGGCTTGAAGGCAGGGATAGTGTATTCTAGGGTGTGTCCATACATCAGAGACCAACTGGCCTGGAGCCCCTTGGAATCAGACCCCCTGAAGAGATTAATGTAAGGATTCCGGTGACCCCCAGGATGTATCTACCCCATTCCCCCAAATGGTGACCAGAGATGGCTCAGAGGCATATTATATATACCATATACATGCTGAATGGCCCAAGCACCTCACAGGCCAAGAGCCCTCATCATCAGCATCTATTCAGAGTTCCTTGCCAAATCCCCAACACACTCTTGATGTCTCCTTGATCTAGAGCCCACATACATCCCAGGGACAAGTAAAGGCAGCAAACCTCATTAACTCAAGAATTTTCCCGACTTTCTGCCCAGCCATCCCCATGCTGAATGCATCCACACCAGCTACACAAGACAACAAGGGTTCTAATAATCCAGAATCCCACGATAATAACCTTTCTACATCAAAAATCATCCAAATAGTGGTGTACCCCCAATCCAGAACCACTTGCCTGAATGCCTCCTTTTGGTGGCAGCAACCCAAGGCATAGCAAAGCCCTCTTGTCTATATAGAACCCCTGGAAGTCAGCTACCCAGCCAGGCTCCCCAGACAAGATGGGCTCTCAGAATGCAGACAGCCCAGCATTCCCTCCCCTGCTCTCAGAATGCAGAAGGCAGGGTCCCTACTCCTACCTACCCCCACCCCCAGACAAATCCCTGAGCATTACTCTTTGGACCTCAAACCCCAGGAGGAATTTTGGGTGGCCTGTCCCCTAGACCCCAAATCCAAATAACCATTTGTAACCTTTTTTTTTTTTGAGCCGGTGGTGTTTTATTGGGTTGAGAGGCGACAAACCATTTGTAATCTTACACTCTCCAGACCCCACCTCCAAGGTAAAGGTCTCATATCTAGAATCAAGATAAATAATTTGTCCCAGATCCAGGATCTCCTAATGTCACTTAATCAGAGCCCATCTGATGCTAGCCCCTCTTCTAGACACTGGGGGTTGAAGAATCACCAAAGATTCTGAGATTTGAATGAGGAAGGAGGAGAATTGGTATTGCAGTGGGAAAGGGATGAAGGAAGCCCTCTGCAGAGGCTAGGTGCCCTTTCTCCACTTGCATCCATCCTCGTCCCATTCTCAGGACCCAGGTATTCTGGATCTCTCTTTCCTCCAAGTCAGCATCAGGCACATGAGGCAGCTGCCAGTGAGTGTCTGGCAGGTCAATACAGGTGTTATGTAACTGGAGAAAAGGGTGGGGATAGAGGGAGATGGGGGGGGAACAATAGGGAATAGTGGAGAAGAAAGAATGTGTGGGGATGAAAAGGAGAAGGAGAGGAGAGGAGAAGAA